GCTTTCCAAGCTCCAGTTTCCCCCTCTGTGTGACGGGTGTATTATCTGTGCTCTGTTTTTGTGAGAATGTGTGTAGGGTACTTTGCGTAGTGACACCTAGTTCTCTCAAATGCTGAAATGGTTGGAGTGGATAGTGAAGTGGATGAAAGCGGGATGCTGGTGTTGAAAACATGGAACAATTCTAGATGAGAAGCAACCACAAAGGAGCATCATAGGGTCCCTTCATTTCAAGCTAGTCTTAAAAATCACATATTCTGTCACTGCTACAAACATGAACTTTTTTTTTTTTTTAAGTTTTATTTATTTATATATATAGAACTGGGTTCAGGCTAGAAGTGCGGGGGGTGAGAGGATTCACCAGAGACAGTAGGGAGCAGAATAGGCAGATCAAATTCACTGCTTAAGGGGAGCAGTGGGCAAGACAGGAGAGGTGCCATGTGGGTCACTCCCCTGGCCAGGGATCGAACTCGTGCTGCAGTGGCTGCGATAGCTTCACAGTGCTGCGCTTTAATCCCTTGCACCACCAGGGAGGGCCCAGGGCCCAAACATGGATTTCAATTAGAGGATCTGATATAATACTCTGTACTAGTTTAAAAAAGAAATCAAGAAGAAGAAACAATATAGAAGAGAATAAAAGGAAAATCAAATGACATTAAAAAGAATGACAAAAATAAGTTGATCTCTCCCTGCTTTTCTCTGGGTACCTTTACTTTAAAAACAAACAATTCATGAACTTTATTATTTTTTTTTAAAGATTTACTTTTCATTTATTTATGCATACAAGAACTGGGGTATGGGCCAGAGGTGCAGGGGGTAAGAGGATTCACCAGAGACAGAGTGGGGAGCAGAACAGGCAGATCGACGAAGTACACTGCTGAGGGGAGCAGCAGGCGGGTCAGGAGAGGTCTGCTGAGCCCTGAGGTCAGTAACCTGGCTGGAGATCGAACTCAGGCCGTAGCAGTGATAGCTTGATAGTAATGAGACTTAAAACCTTGCACCACCAGGGAGGCCCTTAATGGGTTTTATTTTTGGGGGCAATTTTAGATTTACAGAAAACTAGACCAGAGAGTATAGAGAAGACCTATATTGACACCCCTCTCCACATTCCTCTGTTGTTAACATCTTGCCTTATTGTGACTTGTCGTTGGTGTTCTGTGCTGCTGATACCTCCTTCTCTGCACCTTCACCTGAAGATCTGAGGTGGGCGATCATTCACTATATAATTGTAGATGAAGGAACCCTGAGGTTATTGCTGAATTGTCCTCAAAACCTCCCAGTCTGAGTGCCAGGGACTGGATTCTCATGTCTCAGTAGATTTTGTGGGTGGCATATGGTCACTAAGACCACCAAGACTTTGCTTGTAGCCATTAGCACAAATTAGCTGTTTTATTTTATTACTTTTAAAAGATTATTTATTTATGCATACATAACTGGGGTACGGGCCAGAGGTGCAGGGGCGGTGAGAGGTTTTACCAGAGGCAGTGGGGAGCAGGACAGGCAGGTAGAGGAAGTACACTGCTGAGGGGAGCAGCGGGCGGATCAGGAGAGGTCTCCTGTGCCATGTGGGTCAGCTGCAAGATTTTAAACATGAAGCCCTGACCTTGACATTTCAACTCCAAGTTCTTCAGTTGGAGCTCTTAGGGATACAAGGGCCCATAGAACGTGACACACGCCATTACGCTTTACCACTCTACAGTTGTGTGATGTCATTTCAACCCAGTCTTTGTTAATATTGCTCCGATTGTCCCAAGTGACGGGCAGGGCGTCTTACATTTAAACTTACAGGACACTGCCGTGCCTGTTCAGTCCAGGAAGGCCGCGGGCCCTGCCCTGGTGGACGCAGTCCTCTCTGCCAGGTCTGGCTTTCTCAGCCACTGGCTTCTTGGGAAGGAAGTGCCCGGGGCACAGTCTGTCTCTGCCCCCCTAAACTTGGCATCATTCGGCGCTCAGTCACCTTTGCTGAACACCTGTGAGTGTGTAAGCTCTGTGCCAGGTTTGGGGTAAGTTTAAGGGCAGGTCGTGCTCTTTGCTTCAGAGCTGCACAGTGAGTCTCTGAGAAGAACAAGATGACACAATCTGAAGGGCTGTGGCTCCCTTCCCCAGGATCAAAAGCACAGTGTGAGGGAAGTTTATGGCCCCCAAGGTCTACCCAGATCCCAGGTCACTAGGAAAGTGAGATTTGTGGACGAAGAGGGAGGGTCTGCGGCCAGCGGGAACATGAGATCGAGGACACAGGCGAAGCGAACTTTGCTGGGGGCAGTGAGAGAACTCTGTTGGCCGGCTGGAGTGAGAGAGCCGTGTTCGCACTCGGGCACTCGGGCTCTGCCTGGACCCTCCCTGGCCTGACGGTGCGGCCTGCGGGCTGCCTGGGGAGCTTGGACTTTGTGGGGACTGGGTTGAAGCTGAGCTCCGAGCCTCACGCTCCGACCTGGCTCACCTTTGCCTGTTCCGCTCTCCGAACCTGGTTTCTTATCCACCCGTCAGATTAACCATTACATCCATGTGAGCGCCACCCTTTGCTGGGCGACGGTGATTGGAGGTAGTGACCCCACCCCGCAGTGTTGGTGAAGGGGTACAGAAAATACCTTCGTTATCAGTGTGGCCACAGGCCCACGCACTTGCCCATCTGGGGTGCAGTCAGCTCTGCCCCGGGGCCCAGTGTCAGCGACAGTGCTGGGCACTTCCGGGACAGCGCTCGGTGAGTGGTGGTCTGAGTGTCACCTTCTGTTTCTTTAACACAAGAATGGGGTACGTACAGGGCAGAGGTGAGGGTGCTGGTGAAAGGATTCACCAGAGACAGGTGGGGAGCAGAACAGGCAGATCTATAGAAACACTGCTGAGGGGAGCAGCGGGCGGGTCAGGAGAGGTCTGCTGCACCATGTGGGTCACTCCCTGGCCGGGATCGATCTGCAGTGGCTGCGGACAGCTTCACAGTGCTGAGACTTAACCCCTGCACCGCCAAGGACACCCCGTGTTCGTGGTTTAAGTTGCTTTTCTGTTTCCCAGCGTGTCTGCTGATCTCCCACAGGCTGAAGCTGCTGTTGTCTAAGGCCACTTCCCTGGGTGGCCCCTGTTCAGTGGAGCGGAGGGGAGGGCTGTACCACGTAGCTGTCCCATGGCCTTGTTCACTGTCCAGAAGCCCACGCGTGGCCTCCCTCACCGTGACGTCCTGTTCCCCTCTGCCACGCCTTGCCTCTTCCTGGTGACTGCGCCTCCCCAGCTGGGAGCTTCTCGCTGCTTTTCCCTGGGTCTCGCGTCTACCGTGCGCCCCGGAGTTCCATCTCGCCGTCCAGCCCTGCACTCCTGTGTTGCCCGTCCTCCCCTGAGCGCCCAGCTGTGTGGGTCCCCCCGAGGGCTCGCGCAGGGCGTGGCATCTGCCCCCGTCCGGCTGCTGCCGCAGTGTGAGACCAGTGCCCACCCTCCCCGGCCCCCCGGCCTCAAAGAGAAGGCCAGGGCATCCCGCCGGCCTGCGTCTGGTGGCCCGCTGGCTCCTCGCCCCCCCGCCCCTGCCAGCTGCCCCCACGGGGCTCGGGCTTGGCCGCACTGGGCCGCAGCGGGTCTCCAGCTGCCTTTGGACCCTCCACGATCTGTCTGCAGCCCTGGTCTGCTGGGGCCACTTCCCCAGACACCAGGTTCCCTTAGGACCTGGGAGGCTTGAGGGCCGGTGCTCCCCACTTGCTGGCGGTCAGCACCCGAGGCAGACTTAGAGCCCCGGCTCCCGTCACGTCTTCATGTGGCTCTCAGCGGGGACGCCCTGGGTGGCTTGTTGAGTTGTCTTCTCGGGTGAGCTTGCGGGCACAGCTCCCTGCTGCCAGCTGGCCTAGGTGCCTGTCCGGTGCCAGCTGGACTCTCAGTCGGTCTTTGTTTCATGAAGGTCTGGATTTGATCCTTTCATTGTCCTGCTTGAAATTCCCTTCGAAGAACAGTAATTCTGTTTATTTACTCAGAGCAGACATCCTCAGAATTGGGGTGCCCGCGGGACATGCTGTTACTTTAGCGGGCTCTCGAGTATCCCAGGCTGGGGGCTTGTTCTTCACTCCGGCGAAGATGGGGGGCCGAAGGCGGCCCGTCCGCTCGTGGGCTTGTCTGCGCCGTGGCCGCCGCCTCGCAGCCGAGGCCGTGTGTGCAGTAAACGTGACCGGACTTCTTCAGTGAAGGGAGGGTGACACACAGGTGCTGACGGACTTACTTCGACAACTGAAAAACATCTGTGTCCACAGTTAAAAAATAATAAATGGAATGATTTTTTTTAAAAAAAGGACAGGGTTCAACATTTGCAATTGAAGGGCTGCTTGAGATGTGATACTTTTTTCTTTTAAATTGATAAGACATTTGATAACTAAACTCTGATACATGTAAAAATCTGTTGGTGAGGGTAAATTGCATCACCAGTGTCCATGTAAGTTGAGACATGTTGAAAATTTTTTTTTTAAAAAAAGATTATTTATGCATACATAACTGGGGTATAGGCCAGAGGGCGGGTCAGGAGAGGCCTGCTGGGCCATGTGGGTCACCTCTGGGGTGGGGATCGAACTCGTGCACTAGTGGCTTTAGCTTCTCAGTGCTGTGCTTTAACCTGCTGTGCTACCAGGGAGGGCCTGAAAAAACTTTTATCAGTGGGTGTTACCTCACTAAAATGTTTGTACTCTTTTGAATTATTACTCCTAGTTTTAAGAATACAGCTGAAGGAAGAACCCATCACATGAAAAAAAAAAAATCAGGACAAAGTGTTTCCCTGTAGCATTATTTGGGAACACAAAAATGTGGGAAAACCTATGTGAGCAAAATACAGAAAACCTAATATTAGTGAATTGTTCACTCAGAATATTACAGGCCAGAAATGGGGTTCGGAGGTGGAGCTGCGTGGAAGGTAACTGAGCGGCCTTGGCTGACAGCAGGGAGGCTGGAGATGAAGGGACAGCGTAACCCCAACTTTGTGTTACTTAGGAGAGAAGAATTTATGGAGTGTGTACCTCTCTTTCCTGTGTAAAGTACACAGGATGGAGAGTAGCATTGGGCGGAAGGCGGTAAGAAATGAAAAACATGTTTCTGTCGTGTCGGAAATCAAAGTTTTACTTTTTACTTGGGTGTTATAGTGAAACGAAGTTAGAAGGCGGTCATGAAGGCGCTTGTAACACAGAGTGCTTGAGGTGAGGCAGAAAGAACGGCTGGCCGGGTGGTACACAGAAGGCGTAGTGGAGCGAGGGAACGAACAAGAGGCTAGAGAGGTAAGGAGACAGCAGCAAAGCAAAGCTCACAGGAGGTATTGATGGGCGTTTGTAGTTTTTAAATTTCCCAATCCCCCAAATTCACGCACGTTGATTTTGCAAACATGATTTCAACCCAGTAGTTACGTCCTTGAAAACAAGGCGGATTCCTTGTGCTCAGTGGAGCGGCCCCGGCAGACATCCGTCCCCTGTGTTGTTTTCAAGGGCCCCGGGGCTCCTGGACAGTGGTGTCCGGCCCTCCTCTGGGGTTCTTCCACCCTGCCCTCTGCTCCTTGGCTCAGTGCAGGTTCTCTCCTCCTCTGCAGAGCTCACCCAGCTTTGGATTCTTGCTGGACATTGACGGAGTGCTGGTGCGTGGCCACAGGGTGATCCCCGCGGCCCTGGGGGCCTTCCGCAGGCTGGCCAACTCCCAGGGCCGGCTGCGGGTGCCTGTGGTCTTTGTCACGAATGCCGGCAACATCTTACAAGACAGCAAAGCCCAGGAGCTGACAGCCCTGCTGGGGGTCAAGGTAAGGAGGCCGCCAGGGACGTGGGGCCTAGGACCCGCTGCCATGGGACCCCCCACTCCAGCGCTCACGAAGCCTCCTTTGAGTGCTGCTGGAAAAGAAGTTCAGGTTCAAGCCCGGTCTCATCCGTAGTAGCATCCCACCAGGGTCACCCACACGCACATCTGTGTGAATCACGAAAATCCTGCCTGTGTTTGTCCCCTGTACGCACCTGTGTCAGTAGCTGTTGCTTCTGGGCCTCAGGCGTGTGCCTCTTGGAGCGTCTCCTCCCCCGCCGCCCCAAAGCAGGGGCTCATTGCCTAAGTTGCCTCACATACAGTGGGGCTCTAAAACACTAGCCCTTTCCCCCGTCAGTATGACGTGCTCCTCTGGATGAAGCCATCCCCAAAAGTACCCACTTGCAATTTCATGCCATTCCCCCAAACGAACACATTCTTCTTTGTTAAGGGCGGTTTAAATTTCAGGAGACAGTTCTTTGGGACCGAGACAGTAAATAAAATGGCTGATGGAGGGGGTGACCCTACTTGGGGTGAATGCAGAGAGCAGAGAATAAATCTGCTGTCCTCCGTGGCTTCCGGAGAGGATTCCAAATTATTCTGTTGAAATTAATACAGATGCTGAGTGAACAGTTAGGTCTTTAAGTAGAAGCGAACGCAGCAAGGCCAAGCAGATGTCTAAGGCAGCGACAGACGTGCGCACAGACCCCGCGGTCCCAGCCGCTGGAGACCCCAGGGCTGACCTGGCCGCCACAGGCCGGTGTGCGCGGGGAGCCCACAGGGTACTGCTCGCCCGTGGTGCGTGGCCAGGGCCAGAGCCAGGCTCTCCTCACGCCTGCTTGGGGCGTCGGAGCAGCGGTGGGTGTAGGAGGGCCCCCCACCCTGCTTTGCCGGCGGGTTTCTTTTTCTTCCTCGGTGGGGGAAGCTGGCCTAGCGCCGTCCTCTCCCTCACTCTCGCTTCTCCGTCTGCCCTCCTGTCTCTCGGCTGCGCCTGCAGGTGGATCCAGACCAAGTCATCCTCGCGCACAGCCCCCTGAAGCTCTTCTCGAAGTACCACGGGAAGCGGATGCTAGTGTCTGGACAGGGCCCCGTGGTGGAGAACGCCCGATTGTATCCTTTTGGTGCTTCTTGCTCTGAGTGAAAACGCAGGGGCGCGACGGAACTTTCAGCCAGGGCGGTGCGCGTGCGCGTGCGCGTGGTGCCAGGCCCGCGGACTGCGCCAGCGTGGGCCGTGCTGGCTCCTGGTACCTGGCGGCTTCCAAAATCCAGGCCGCTACTTTGGAACCTGCCAGGGAGCTTAAAATACAGCTTCTTGGACCTTACCCTAGCGAGTCTGGATGCACTTGTTCTGGATAAAGCTCTGAATTAAAAATAAACAGTAGAAAAATAAACAAACGGTAGACATGTTTAGGTCTGGGAAACCCTGCGCTTGAGTCCTCCCTGGGTGCCCATTTAACGAGCCAATCAGCCGCTATCATGCCGCTATCATCACCTAAGCAAACACCACCCGGCGCGCCTGTGTGGCAGCGCCCAGGCGGGAGGTGCCCAGAGGAGCAGAGGGGATGGTGACCCGACCACGGCTTCGCACTTGAGGTCAGAGTGGCAGACCCACGGACAGCGGACGCGTGGCCACGAGATGGGAGCCGGCGACGGGTGTTGAGGGGAAGGGACGCCCCCCACTGAGGTTCCCGTGCAGGGAAGCTGAGGAGGCTGGACAGATGGGGGGGGTGCCTGGAGCAGGGGTTGGACTAGGCTGAGGTGGGGAAGGAGAGCGGCAAGATGCCGCCAGCCTTGCAGACAGACGGCGAGCTCGGATGAGTCAGTCTGGGAGTAACCTGAAGCATGGCCAGTTGGGCTGGACGTGGGTCTTGAGGGGAGGCGGGAGGAGGCAGTTCCGAGAGAGCAGGCTGCGCTGGCCCCTCCCCGGCCCCGCCTGCCGGGTTTTTTCAGTTCTGGCGTCTGTTGTGCCCCTGCTCAGCGGGCGTCTCCCCTGTGAACGCCTCAAGCCTCCCCTCGGCACGTGGTTCACAGCGGCAGCTTTGGGTGGGCTCTGGGCAGTGGACGCTGCTGGTATGCCGGGCGCCTCCTGGCGCCTGCGTGGGGCCGGCAGCTGGAGTTGTCCGGTGGCCGCACACGCACGTCCACCCGAGCCCCCGGCTGCCTGCTTGCTCCTTCGGGCCCAGTCGTGGCCTGCAAGCCGGCACTGGCTTCGGGGCTGGTTGGTTCCCCTCAGTCGTGATTTGATGCACACAGAGCGACACTGTTCCCAGAACTGGCCAGCTTTGCTTCCCTGAGCTCACTGTAGACTGGGCTTCGAGAATGTGGTCACCGTGGACAAGCTGCGGATGGCCTTTCCTGTGCTTGACATGGTGGACCTCGAGCGGCGGCCAAAGAGCACGGTAATCAGGAGCTTGCCCCGCGCTCTCCCAGGCCAGTGTGGCGGCAGCTCCCCGCGGTGGCCCTCAGCCACCTCGCCACCCTCTGCTCACAGCTGCATCTTGTCTGTGTTTCCCACGCTGCCCCCCCGGAGAAGCCTGCCTGGCCAGGGGTCGTGTGCCACGGCTCCGCACCCGCGAGGCAGCCAGCCCCGAAGGCCTTTCTCTCCTGCACTGCCCGCCTCTCCTCCAGTCTGTAGCTGTGTGCTTTACCAGCTGGCTGTCCCAGGGTTGCTTGGGCGAATCGTTAACCTCTGCTGTATGTGCACGGAGCCCACACTGGCGTGGCCCAGGGGGGTGGACCCCGGAAGACTGGTAACGTGACGGCCTCTGCTCCCGGTCTGACATCAGGAGCCGCGTCCCGCGCCTGACGGCCGCCTTTCTCTCCGGAGGCTCGCCGCATCTTCGCCGCGTGATTCTAGACGCTTGCTTGCCCTGCCCAGTCTCGGGCCTGCCGGCCAGCCCTCCCTCCTGGCCGACCTTCCTCGGCGGTCTCCTGCAGCCTCTCCTGTGACTAACTGGTCCCTCTCCACGACCCTCCTCCCCAGTTCTGTCTGGCTTTTCAACTAGGCCTTGGCGGGGCTGCAGGGCAGTCTCGGGGCTCCCCGGCTTGTCTTTCCTCCACCCTCTGTGGAAACCAACGTGTCCCCCTGCCTGACGGGGAAGGGACGTTGCACTCATGGATCTGTTCTTGTCTCCTGCAGCCCCTTCCCACGACAGACTTCCCCGCCATTGAAGGTAAAGGAGGCCTCTTGGGGGGGGGGGTGGCCGCCTCGTCCCCTCTCCTCTCGGGTCCCTGTGGCTGTTTGAGGGAGATTATTTGCTCGACTGGTGACAGGGTGGCAGTGTTGGACAGAGGTCACCGGGGGTCTGGTCTTGGACCTGCCATTCAGACCTCAGATCTTCACTGCTAATTCTCCTTCCTCACATCACGTGCCTCATGATTTGAACGAAGCAGAACCTGCCATGAAGCTTAGAGGCGGATGTGTGTTTAGATGAAGGTGTTTTATCGGTGATTCGGGAGCTAGGGACAGCCTTGTCACTCGCTAAGTGAATGTCCAAAATATGAAACCACTCTCCGTAAAATTTTGGAACTACAAAGTACTCCTATCACTTGACTTATGTGGTAGTTGCCTTTTTGTGTTTTTGTGTTTACGCGTAAGTATTTTGTGTTTTTGTGTTTACGCGTAGATGGGGAGGACTCGGAGTTAGGCTCAGGTAACAGTAAACAGGTCTCCTGCCTCTGAGGATCAGATGGGGCTGGAGATGCTGGTAGCGCTGGGCGGGTTTGATGGTGCCTCTGCCTGCCCATGAGACCTCCCGCCGCCCTCCAGTCCTGGCCAGCTGTCAGTCCTCATGGTGATGACGGAAGCCAGCTCTGGCTTCTGGACATCTCCTTGGGAGCACAGCTGGCCACAGAGAGCCTCTAGTCTGTGTACCTGAGATCTGCAGCTCCCCCCCAACTCCCACCCAATGCTGAGTGTTCAGCAGAGCTAGGTGCTTCATTGTATCTGTTTAATCTTCATAACAATGGCGGGTTGATCCAGTGCAGTTAAGGAAGCTGAGGCAGGAGAAAGTAAATAGCCTAGCCACAGTGGAGGAGGCTGGGGGCGGAGCTCCTTGAAATTCAGGTTCTGTCACTCCAGGTCCCCCTCCCTTCACCCTCCCCCTGGGGTTGAGAGAGAATTCCCTAAGGAAGTGAACCCTTCCCCCCGAGGTGGTGGGGAGCACCTCAGTCTCCGAAGCTCCTGTGGACACACCGGAAATGGGGGCTCAGAGGCAGCTCCTCCCTGGTCCTGGCCAAGCTCGGAGCGGGGCTGAGGGGCTCCTTGGGGCTGGCCCAGGGGCTGCTGTCACACGGCTCAGCCTCCTGTGGCCGCCAAAGGCCGGACCCGCGTCCTGCACCTTCACCCGTCTTTGCTCTTTGAAGGGGTGCTCCTTCTGGGGGAGCCAGTCCGCTGGGAGACAAGCCTGCAGCTGATCATGGATGTGCTTCTCAGCAACGGGAACCCCGGGACTGGACTGGCAACAGCCCCTTACCCCCACCTTCCTGTCTTGGCCAGCAACATGGATCTCCTCTGGATGGCTGAAGCCAAAATGCCCAGGTGAGGCCTCTCAGGCCGGCCCCAGCCACCAACCTCCCGCTGCTGCCTGGGCAGGGCTGCTGGCCACTCCCACCGTCATCCTGCTTGTCTGGGCGGGCAGGCCCTTCCTGGGTAGGCCCGTGCCCGCGTGGTAACCTGGCCTCCTGGGAGGGCAGCAAGAGCTGCTGCACATCCTGATGATTAAACCAGAGCCGCAGTGTACTGAGCACAGCAGACAGGCCGAGCTGCTCCTTACCTCACGGCGCGGGCCCAGGGTCTGGACACACCTGCTTTGTTGACCAGCAGAACCCAGAAGACGGATGGCTTCTGGGGCGTGACAGAGCACGTTATTCGGCTATTTCTTTCTACACGTCCCCCCAGCAGGGTTCTTTCACTTGTTTCCTTCTTCCATTTCCTTCTGACATGGGGGAGAGCGAGACTTGTGCAGAGCAGAGAGAGCCAGGGGGTACGTGATCTTCTCCGAGGCATGTGGGTGTTGGCAGGCCCATGCTCCCTGCCCAGCCACATGGATGTCGCCTGTCCTGTCCTGAGGCCAGGCCCCTGGAGGCAGTCCTTTGCTGCCCGAGAGCTGCCTTCCCGGAGGAGCCGCTGAGGCCCGCGTGCGCTGTCGGGCTGTGCTTATCTGCAGGGTCCACGCTGACCCTGCGCCGGCTGCTGGGAGCCGGGGCCCCAGGGGCGGCAGGGCCAAGCCCGCTCGCTGGTCCTGCCGCTCGCTGGCCCCAGAGAAGTAGAGGTCCTGGGGTTCACCCTTGTTACTCCTATTCAGTATTTCTTCCAAGAGTTGGGGTGTGCTGATAGTCAGTGAGGGGTGTCTGCTTATGTGGGCTGTGAGCCGAATAGCAGGGACAAGTTTTAATTTATAAACCCAATTTGAGATTAATTTTTCATTCAACAGTTTATATTTTTTGTTATGTTTTAAAAAGATTTATTTATTTATGCATGTAAGAACTGGGGTGTAAGCTAGAGGATTCACCAGAGACAGAGTGGGGAGCAGAAGAGGCATATGGACTGAACTACACTGCTGAGGGGAGCAGCAGGGGGACAGGAGAGGTCTGCTGCGCCCTGGGGGTCGCTCCCTGGCCTGGGATGGAGCTCATGCTGCAGTGGCTGCAGACAGCTTCCCAGTGCTTTAAGCCCTTGCGCCACCAGAGAGGCCCTGTCGCTCAACAATTTAACACTGAAAAATAGAATCCATTATGTAAGGCACACTGAAGTGTAAACTTTAATATATTGTACAGCGTCAGGATTTGGTCTAGCAGCAAGGATGAAAACCAAACAAAAGTGCCTGGAACAAACACCACTTTTCTCATGTGAAAGAAGTGTGGGCGGACAGTGCCACAGACCAGGCACCCCGTTTCCTGCCCTGCAGTCATTCACGTCGGACTCCAAAATGGCTGCCTGAACGCCGGTCCTCAGACGCGCATTCCAGGCAGGCAGGGCCGCAGGTGGGCGGGGGCTCCTGCAACTCCCAGGAGGCTCTTGAGGAAGGGGCAGCACGGCTGGCTTCTGTGGCTGCCCACCCGGCAAAGCGGGCCTGGCGCTGTGCTCACTGCCTGGCAGTGGGGTGGCTGCAATTGGGCCGAGCAGGAGAGGAGGGTGGGCGTGGGCCCCCCATGACGGCAGGCCCACTCTGCCCTGGGTGCTGGCGGCCTGGGCTGTGGGCTTCCCTCCCCGCCTCTCTGGCTGCCTCACTGGGGCAGTGCCGAGCACCACGGCCAGCTCACAGGGTGGGGCGAGACCCACGGTCTCATCTGCCGTCTCGGGTGCCCGGGCAGTGCCCAGTGGACGTTTTTAGATAGGACCAGGTCTTAGGCGTTGACCATGGGTGTAATCTCTCCTGAGAAGTGATGTCGCGATGACCCATGGCCACGGGCCGCCGGTGAGGCCTGGGGAGCCGGCGGGGCTGGGAGTGGCCGGCGCCCCAGGGGTCTGAGCTGCTGCGCTGTCTTCCCCGGCAGGTTTGGCCATGGCACCTTCCTGCTGTGCCTGGAAACCATTTACCGGAAGGTGACGGGCAGAGAGCTGCGCTACGAGGGCCTGATGGGCAAACCCAGCATCCTCACCTACCAGTACGCAGAGGGCCTGCTCCGGCAGCAGGCGGAGAGGCGGGGCTGGGCCGCCCCCATCCAGAAGCTCTACGCGGTGGGGTGAGCCCCCGCCCCTTCCTTGCCCCCCCCCCACTCACCCTGCGGATTCCCTGTCTGGAGCGCACCGCAGCCCCGCCGTGGCGGGTGCTCTCTGCCTTCCACCGCTGACGCTGCTCTCCTCTCTCCTCTCCCGGTGTGGCGCCCCGCAGCGATAACCCCATGTCGGATGTCTACGGCGCCAACCTGTTTCACCAGCACCTGCAGATGGCGCAGCGCGAGGGCCCCGGGGCCCTGCAGACGCAGCGGCCGGGGGCCCCGCAGAGCTGCACCTCCATCCTGGTGTGCACGGGCGTGTACAGCCCCCAGGCCCCGGGGTCCGCGCAGCCTGCCCCGGCCGGGGAGGAGGCTCCGTTCCACGGTCACCGGGACTTCGGCTTCAACCCGGGGCTCATGCGGGCGTCGCACATTGTGCGTGACGTGGACGAGGCTGTGCAGCTGGTCCTCCGCAAGGAGGGCTGGACCTCGTAGCAGGGGCCCTGGCCGGGGGCGGGGCCTGGGGCCCCCGGAGTCCTGTGTGCTGGCTCCCTCGGGGCCAGTCAGGGCCCGCTGCCCGCCCGCCCGGCTGGAGTTGCCCGGGCCCTCGGGGGCAGGACTCCCGGGGACCGCAGGCCCGCCCCTGCCCGCCGCCTCGAGCAGCCTGACCTCAGACCAGTCTCTGTGCCTGTTTCCTCGTCGTTTGATCAGGGCTGCCCGGTGGCGCTGCGTGGCAGTTTCTGCAAGGCCCTTGCCTGCGCGGAAGGACGCGGCGCGCCAGCCACCCGTGTAACTCGCCGCGGAGACTCCTTGCTATGGCATTTTAGCTGATTGCCCAATTTGGAACTTTCGGGCTTATTTTTTTAAATTAAAATGATCGTAATAAATATTCATGGTGCTGTCTCTTGCGACGCTCTGTCTGGAATGTTCTGAAAATCCTGTGGGGGAAGGACAGTGGGTGAGTGAGGCGGAGACGTGGCATTTCGGCCGTGGGGTGCTGACTCCCCCCGCCCACCTCTGTCCCCACCCACCCCTGCCGCCCCCAGTCGGCTGGGCAGAGCCTGAGTCTGTCTAGGAAGGAGGGCTGCCCCGGCAGCGGGCATGTTCTCGGCAGCTCCCCTGATGTGGTGAGGAAGGGGCTTTTGTCCAAATGGAGAAGCTTTTCCTGCAGTGCTTCTAGAAAGTGTCAGCCCTGGGGGAGTAACCCCTTCGCCGCCATCTGCGTCACCCGCGGTCTCGGCATCTGCCACGGCGCGGCTCATCCTCTCCCCATCTTACTCGGGGGGCCCCGCCCCCCACAGCCCCCAGATCACACTCTAACTGATGCTGGAGCTGCACTAACCTGTTAGTCTCTAGCACAGATGACGATTCCGATGTCTGTCAAACCCTTACTTGGCCATCCCCGGCCTCCTTGACATCTCTTTGGATACCTGGTGCTTGTTCGGTGGGGGGAGAGCGGGGTGGGGGGGGCAGTGTCCAGTGAGCTAAGTGGGGGGGCTGAGGAGGTGTTGGGGGGCCAGAATGAAGGCTGTGCTCTGAGGAGGGAGAGGAGCTGCACTTCCTGCGTCTCTGCTTGGCCACCTGCAGGACCACGCCTGGTCCCACCTGCCCTCTCACCTCGCGGCCTCCTCCCCACCCCCACCCTGGACAGCTGGACTGGTCCTCCCCGTGGGAGCCCTCCGGCGGCTTCCCCCAGCTCCACGCCAGCTGAGCAGCCCCTCCCGGCCCACCCACACCAGCGCCCACTTGTTCCTTTTCTCCTTTTCAGTGGCGAGGGGCCCAGTGACTGTCACCACCAGGAGGCTCCCTCAGCTTCCTACTAGTGACAGCGTCCCCTCCCGCTCACCTACTTAACTTCTGTTGTGATTCTTACCTCTCCACGACCTGCATTTACCCCCTCGTTCGGCGTCTTCTACTGAAGTCTAAATGGGGGACTCTGTTCATAGGGACTCACAGGCGTGCCCCACGCCTGCATGGCCTGCACCCCGGTGGGACACAGACCCACTGAGTCCTCGGCGCCTTCGGGACAACGAGGGCTTTTTCTTCTCCCTTGCCCAACACGGTACAAGTAGAGAGCCTTGAGGGTCCTTGCGCCAGAGCCGCCTCAGCCTCGACCCCCAGCCCTGTCCCGTCCGGCTGTGTGGTCCTCGGTAGCTGCCCCCACCTTTCTGCCTGTAAAGTTGATGTGGACACTGTGTGCTTCATAACGAGGTCTTCCCTATACTCTGCTGCAGCAGTTAGGGTTTTTGTTCAGCTGCTTGTTACAGAAACCTGACTGGCGACTCCACCAAAATTTTAGTTGTTTTTCTAAGCGGCAGGAAGTTCAGAGGCTGGCCCTGCAGTCTGGGGGAGCGGCTCGAGGGTGTCAGCGAGGACGGGGTCACCCACCCACCATGCTCACATGCTTGAGTGTGCGTGTGCCTAGTTTCGAGGGTGCTGTTACACCCTCAGGCGTCTCATCCACATTCCAGGAGGAAGGAGGAAAAGGCGAGCAAAGAGCAAGGGGAGCTGGACTCACCCTGGTGCCCCCGGGGTTCCACAGGGCTGGCAGCCGTGTCTGCAGTTGGGTCACGGCCCGGCAGCTGCCCACGGCCGCTCAGTGTTCGTAAGGAAGGCTGGCAGATGGGTTTGGTAGCGAAGCTCACGCCGCTCTGCCGCCTGGGCCCAGAAGGCATTTGACTAAGATGACTTCTTCCTCGCTCCTGTGTCTGAGCTCCCAGGCCAGGGAGTCTTGCTTTTCCAGTGTGTCTGCAGCAGGTGTCATTCATCCATACGTTACTCGAGCTTCCCAGAGCCCCTGCGCCGATTGATAAGTGAGAGCACAAAGTGGAGGCCACTCACTGCTGTGCTTTCATAAACTCCTATTTGAGATGTACCACGTGCTGGATCTGATCAAGGTACAAAGTCCTACCCTTGTGCAGACACCTGTGCGTGTCCAGGTGTCCAGAGTCGGCCAGAAAATGGAGGGCCCCCTGCTCCAGTCACGAGAGCCTGCTGTCTTTCCCACAAATGCACCAAAGACCCACCCAATCAGGCCGCTTCCTCCTCCAGGCAGTATTTGATGTCCTGAGGCACCTGCTACTGTGGCTGCGACCTTAGTGCTCTTATGGGCAGCAGCGAGGTTGCACCTGCCCAGTGGCATATCAGGTGAGAGCAGAGTGAGGGGCTCTGTGGGGAGCAGTCTTGCCGGAGTTGACTCTTTAGCACCAGAATGAAGTGACAGGACAGCCCGTGCCTGCCTCTGGCTCTGTCCTTCTGGCTCTGTCCCTCTGGCTCTGTCCCTCTGTCCCCTGTTTCTTGCTGGCTTGGGCATCCTGAGGCTTTGGCAAGCCAGTGCAGAGGACCTGTGTCCTGAGGGCAGGGCTGACCACTCTCCGCCAGTCCAGTCTTGTCCTCTGGGGACTTTATCTGAACTGCAAAACCAAACCGTACAACCAGCTGCTTCATTGCTCAGCCCCAAACTGAACAGAAACATTGCCCTCTGTGTCTCGATGGAGCCAGATGAATACAAGACAAAAAAGAAGTTACTTTGGCAGGAAGGAAGCCCCTGTTCTCCACAAAATTATTAGCCTGGAGCAAGACTGTACCGTCAGGTGTTGACAGGACAGAGAAAGTCATCTAGGGTCACCAGTCTTACCTTGGAGTCAGAACGCAGGGCCCTTCCTGGGGCTCCCCTCAGTGGCAGCCTGGGGCCTCTTGAGGACACCTCTCGGCTGCCCCAAGCGGTTCGGTTCAGTGAGTGGTGAGCAAGTTGGTAATCAGGATTCCAGCAGACCTCCGGTTGCTGTAGCAACCGGATGCTGCCTTGAGGGCGGAATTTTAAAATATCTCAGCTATAATAGTTTTTTTTTTCAATCTCTGTCACTTCCCCAGTGCTGCCTGGTGCTGCTGAGGCTGGGCCGGGATGGGACGGCTGTGTCTCTGCCTGGGCTCTTGGCAGCGTCTGGGGGCTGGAGGTGGGAGGACAGACTCAGGGTGTGAACTGCTGGGAAGATGACGAGGCTTTAGCTTTTGCTTCCAGGCTCTTCCCGCTCCTGGTTCTAAGAGCCTTCTGTCATTTTCTCTTTTGGGGAGGCACAGAACAGGGTCCAGTTTGGAACTCTCCCCGGCCCACATCCCTCTCAGCAGCCTTTGGAATCGGGGGCCCTCTCCTCGGAGGGGAGCGGGGACTCCTTGCTGTTTTTCCTTTGCTTTTTCTAGTTGCCTCTTTGTACTTAATTTATTCACTCAACAAAAGTCTGTTGTGATCTACGAAACCCAGAAGTAAGAAACTGCCGTGTCACTTGTCTTGACCTGGGACTTGGCTCTGGTAGATTCCAAACACTTTTATGAAATTAGTCACCAAATTCTGTTGGCAGAGGAAGGGGTACAGACCAATGAGAGAAAACAGCACCCAGAAACTCTAGTATATGAAAGAGAGGCAAGTGTGGCTTGACGAATATTTATTTTGTACTCTGGTGGGGCTGGGAGGTTCTTCTGGCCTTTCCCCTCCAGGGCCTTCCGTCCTGTGGGGCTGTCAACCCCAGGGCCTCGTTCCCAAGCTCCCTGGCAGGGGGAGAGCCAGCAGACACCATGAGGGATGGTGGCCAGACCTGGCGCACACACTGCCACTGGCCGGGCTTGCCGAGGGCCGGGAACGTGCCCGTGAGTGGGAGCTGGTCTTCAGCACCCAGCTCTCTGCCATCTTGCTCCTTCTAGGATAAGGCTACAGTGTTTTGCTAAGTTGTGTAGATTCATGAAGTAAAGGTTGAAAGTTTTTTCTCTTGAACTCATCATAAATGCTTTAATCCTTTCATCTGCCAGTGTGGTCAGTTACCCGACAGATGTTTCCCTCCGGACCTTGCTTGCTGTCTGCCAGTGGTAAACTCCAACTGGCTACATTGCGTTTTGCTGGCTGCCACTAGCGAGTCATTGGTTAGGGCTCTTTGTCCGGGTCCGTAAATGAGATTTCACTTCATCTGCTTCCTAGTGTCTTTGGCCTGATAGCCATTGTTAGTCTTGTAACATAAACGGTAACCCATACCACCTTTTCCTGTTTTTTTTTTTTAAAAAGTTTGTTT